GGTGGGAAAAGGGTATAGCAGCTTCTCCCACTGTCACTTCTTTATAGACAGCACATGTACATTTTCATGGAAGTCCTTGGGGTCCAGTTCGTCAGTGATCCAGTGATTTGTGTGACAGTTGACTGAACTTCTCTTTAGTTTTGGGTAGCAGCTGGTGTGACTCCGTCACCTGTTCTGTCTTCCCCCTCCAGCTTTCCCTTATGTGAATCAGTCAGATACACTTTAGAGGCCCTCAGGCTGGGAATGGAACACCTAATTTGCTATAATATACAAGCTGATCATTAACCCTGTATAGGTCTGGGTTTTCTTCCTCGTGAGCTCAGGGAGATTGCCCCATCTCCTAGCTTTTTCTGCTCTCCACAGCCTACTGGATTGCACACCAAGCAGTGAAAATAGTGTTTGATTCCATTGACAACCTGGAGGCAGCTCCTCATGACATCGGCTTCGTCAAACAGGCCATGTTCAACTATTTCCAGGTATTCTCCCCCACCCCCAGTAAACATGCACACCTGGGCTAGGGCAGTGGGAGGCTGAGCAGCAGGGGAGAAGCTGGGTGAATTAAAGGAAAGTTAGGCTGAGTCATGGGTCAGAGCTGGAGGATGGAGAAGTCATAGGTGAGGACAGGATTCGGAATGATATGGGTGGTTCATGCCAGGAGGGTGTCAAGGGTGAGGGAGGGGTAGGCTGGAGACAAGTGGTTAGCCCGATTTCATTCTTGGGCAGCTAGACCCTGCGGGCAGGTGAGGGCAGATGACATTCTAAGCTGGAGTGAGCAGTGCAGGGTGAGATCAGGAAACAGTGCTCACAGACACAGAGATAGCAGCTAAAGTCTGCACAGATGCGTCAGGCAGTGAGCTGCTTCTGTATGGGTGAGGGAGGAGAACCACTAGGAGGTAGGCAGGGAGAATTCTTAGGAGGTGCAGCCTCCTGCCCAGGCTATCAGGGATTGACTTTCCTTCTTCTCTGAGCCATGCTTATCCGTAGTGGGTTTGGGAAGGTGGGAAGAGGAGAAAGAAGACAATGTTTATGTGACAGACATCTCTCTGGATGAGGGCCACTTAGGTGGGCTGGAGCCGGGGCCAGGGAAAGAGGTTAAAAATGCTGGGAAATAGGACCTGTATTCTCAAGGCTCAGAGGTTGATGATTGTAGTGAAACTGGCCTGGGCCAGGCTGAGGAACAGGGAGAGAAATCACCTTCTATAGCAGCTGTGGTAGGAAGTGGAGTTAAGGCATTCTGACACAGCAGATTGGTTCTAAACCCCAGTGACATGTCTGCCATTCCCTCTCTTACCCTTTGGTCATTCTTTTTTTTTTTAATAAATTTTTTAAATGAAGTAAGTCATTTTTTTAAAGATTTCATTTTATTTATTTTTAGAGAGGGAAGGGAGGGACAGAGAGAGAGAGAGAGCGAGCATGAGAGCGTAAGAGAAACATCAATGTGTGGTTGCTGGGGGCCATGGCCTGCAACCCAAGCATGTGCCCTGACTGGGAATCGAACCTTCGATGCTTTGGTTCACAGCCCGCACTCAATCCACTGAGCTACGCCAGCCAGGGCCCTTTGGTCATTCCTATAAGGTCATTACAAAGACTAAATGAGACAGTCTGTATAACATGCTTATTACTACATTGCTGTAGGTGCTCAGATTTTAGCAGCCCCCTCTTCCTCCACCTTAGTAACATATCTGGGGAATGAATCGCTGGTTCCTCAGGACCTTTAGAGGTGTTACTAGTGGGTTCATTTGTTGAGGTGGAAGAAGGACCTTCCGTGGTCCAGATACAAATACGTAGATTTCTTGGTTCAGGACTTCTCAGGCGTTAGTTTGCTAACGTGCGTTGTGAATCTCTAAGGAGAGTTAGAATGTGCAATAGTCTTCAGACTCCTCTGACCACAGAAAGCTTTTCAAGAGCACCTCAAGGAACGACAGAGCACACTTTGGTGAGCAGAGATCTGTGCTCCGTGCAGACTAATCTGTAAGGAGCAATGGAGTTCGTGTTGGGGGAAACAAAGAACTTTTCTCAAATGAGAAATCGTAAATCCTCACACCCTCTAGAGCTTAAAAACAAAACAAAACATTATTCCAGCTTTTCAAACAGTAGAGACATCAAGACGGCCAACTTAGGTGGGCCGACTGGGAATCTTCCTTTGCTTCTGATGACTGTCTTGTGCCTTTTCTCCGCCTCTCAGGTGCCAGATCGGCTGGGAATCCTCGTACACCTGTATAGGGACTTTGATAAATGCAGGTTTGCTGGGTTTTGCCGGAAAATTGCAGAAGGTACTAGAGGTGGGGCAGGGTTTTATCTGGCTTCCTTCCCCAAAGACCCCCAGGTGGGAAGTGGGTGGCGTGATGGAGTAAGGCTCAGATGGCGCCTGGAAGCCAGTTCAGTCTTCCTTTGACCAGTGACCTCCCTTTGACCAGTGCCCCCATGGGCCTTGGCACCGGTGGGCCTTGAGGTGGAGGCAGGACACGTGGACATATTGACGGTTGTCTATTCTATGTTTCTCTTGACAGCTGTTGTGGCTTGTGCGGGCTGTGCGTCTGTGACTGAGAAACTCATGAATCAGTTGTCCTTTGGGCAGATCTTTAACATTTTTTTTTTATAAACCAATGACACCCAAAGAACTAGGGGATCCTAGAGAGGTTAGGCATATTTGGTTGGGTGTCAGGAAAAGCTGAACCATAGGGCTTGCTTATCTGCACATTACTCTTTCTCCACTGTATGGTCCATACTCCCTTAATTTGGATTCCTGCAGACTCAGGGCATTGGAAGGTCCTCTGAGGCCCTCCTGGACTGAGGCCTCTTCAGAGCAGAGCTGAGAAGGGGCTGACCAACAGCAGATCACTGGAGGTGGATGGGGGTTCCCAACAGGAACACCGGCCAGCTGCTCAATAGGGTCCTGGGTCCCCAGAGCTGAGAGGCCCCCAGGGACAGAACTCAGTAACTCTGTGTGAGCTGGAGTGTGAACCAGGTGCCAGTGTGCTGCTCTAGTGGTGCGCTTCCCTTCCCAAGTGCATGGAATGAGCCACCTCCAAGGGTAGAAGTGCCTGGTGGGGGTTGGGGGGTAAGGGTAGAGTGGCAGCTTTGGAGGCTTACTTTTACCCACATGCTGTGAGGTGGCGTCTGTTTCCTGGTTGAGATGTAGCTGCTGCTGCCCTGCCCCAGAGAGTGAGGACGGAGGAGCACTGGTGGCTCCCTGGGTACTCACCCTCCCTTCCCTCTTCCCTCCCCCAGGTGCTCAGCAGGGAGATCCCCTCTCCCGTTACATCTTCAGGAAGGCTGGGGAGATGCTGGGCAGACACGTTGTGGCCGTGTTGCCTGAGATTGATCCGGTGAGTTGAGGTGGGAGATGAAGGCTGGGAGCTGCTGTGCAGGTTTGGCCCTTGCCCATGAGGGGCGACACTGCCCCTCAAACTCTGTAAACTGGATATGATTTTAAGTGAAAACTCAGGTTTGAGAAATATTTTTTAGAATGTCTAGAACACAAACAAGTTTTTGGCCCAGTGCTTCCCCTCTGCGGCTCATCCGCAGCCTTTGTGTAGCACACACTGGTTCGCTGCGGTGCCCGTGCTGCCCCTCTCGGTCACGCGGGTGCCTGTGTTCCTCTCTCCCTGCTCCTTCCTCTGTGGTTGTTCAACGCCTTTTGAACAAGCTCTGTCCTCTCTGTCCCTTGTCTTTATGAATCTCCCTATTTTCCCTCCTTTTTTTCTTCTCTGAAGTTCACCTTCTGGTTCTCAACTAGAGGGAGCGTAAGTGGGATAGGGAGCACTGGTCTTAAGCAAGTACCCACTTCAGCATTGGAGAGACGTGGTCACCCCCATTATCCATTTCTGCTTTCTGCCCAGGTCTTGTTCAAAGGCGAGATTGGCCTCCCCATCCTGTGTGTGGGGTCTGTGTGGAAGAGCTGGGAGCTGCTGAAGGAAGGTGAGTCTGGGATGGGGGCAAGGGTGAAGGATGGTGCTGGAAAAGAGGTGGCTCAGGAGAGCTGCCTGCTCTAGGGAGGACGTGGGACCTGAGGCCTGGACAGGCCACTGATGCCTCCGTTCAAGGCCCTCAACCTTCAGTCTGCCAGGGAGCCCTTTACAAGGTCCCATCCAGCTCCTTGGAGCTCTTACAAAGATGTTCTTTTCCAAAGGATTTATTACGTAAGCACCACTTTTTAAAAATTAAAGACAAATCTAACTTAAAATCAGAGCTTCTGACCAGCATGTGGTGATACCCCTACGCAACACAGTCCTGGTCAGAAGGAAAGAAATGTGCCGCCTTTGCCCTTGCTGCCTTGTTTTGGGCAACTGTGGTTCCCATTAGACATTCTGAAGTAGCCCAAGGACCCCTGGTGCTACCTCGGAGTTCCTGGCATTGGGCGCTGAGAGGCAGCCCGTTTCAGCACTGGCCTCGCCACCCTGGTGCACCACCTGTTGGGGATTTGGCATGTGGGCCACTCTAGGCCCCCTACAGGAAAACCCCAGGGCCCAGGCCTTATCTTTCCCCACCCTGGTCTCTATCACAGTGTCTATCTCATCAATGTCCTCTGTGTTCTTTCCCTCCAGGGTTCCTTTTGGCGCTGACCCAGGGCAGAGAGATCCAGGCTCAGAACTGCTTCTCCAGCTTCACCCTGATGAAGCTGAGGTACTCCTCCGCCCTGGGCGGGGCCAGCCTAGGGGCCAGGCACATCGGGCACCTCCTCCCCATGGACTACAGTGCCAATGCTGTTGCCTTTTACTCTCACACCTTCTCCTAGGGGGCTGGCCCTGGCTGCACCCCCTCCATGCCCCGTGGACATTGGGTGCTGGAACAGAGGGGGCCTTTTTCCTGTTTCCTTTTTTTTTTTTTAAGAAAAACACGTATAGAAGAAAATAAATGCACTTTACCCACTCCCCAGTTGGATTGTGTTGTAAGGCACACTTGCTGTGTACATTCTCAGTGTACCTGCCTGCACGTATCCCCGAGGGTTCAGGAATGATTTTAACTCAGAGTTTAAAGCCCCTCCCCTGGTGCTCAGCCTGTGGATTATAGTCTGCTTGCCCTGCAGTTGGATGTATAATTTATCTGTGTGCCACCCTGCCCTGCTGTGTTAGCATACTTATGCTGCTGCTGCAGTTAACCTGTGACCTCGATTTCCTGTCAAAGTGGGTAGTGATCCCTGCCAGAGCATTTTCAGTGGAACTAAATGTTCTCCCTGCTGAATATCACCAAGAATAACCTTAGGCATACCACACCCTCTCCTGTTAGTCCCAAGTAGGTTTTAGGGGACAGGGTGCAAATATTGTCTGGGAGAATTTTTACCTTACTGAATTTGGTAGTTATGGGTAAGCAGCACATTTTGCAGTTTTTCTGCATGAATGAGTTGAGAGGTTTATGAGGATGGCTGAGATCCAAGGCCAACTAGGTACAACTTAACTAGGTTAACTACCTATTCTGGGACTACTAGCCTGACTCTGGTGACAGGTGTGACACTGTATTTGTTGTGTGGCACCAGGAAGGATGAACATCAGTGAAGAGCAGACATGATTCTTGTCCTCTGGATACTGTAGTTTGATTAAGACAAGCCCAAAGCTTCATGTTCTGCTGCCCATGCTGCTTAGAGAAGACAGAAACCAGAGTCTTGATTAATAGTAGGTGCCTCTCTAGGAGTTTAGAGTATAAGCTGTTAGAAGGCATAGATTGTTTCCTGGACATCAGTTCTCAAACTTACATGTATAAATTATTCTAGACCTTGTTTTAGCCGCAGATTTCTGTCTGTCTTCCCCCTCTGTAAGATGCCTTGATTCAATAGGTCAAGGATGAGATGGGGAATTTTCACTTCTTCTAAAAATCTCATGTAATTTCTGCTGCAGAGGTCCAGGATCTGCACTTGAGGAAGCTCTACCCTGCAGTTCATGAGTTTGGATGAGGTCCTTGAAGGGGTCTTGGATATTTTTGTCTCCCAAGCCAGATAACACTTTCATCACAGCATAGTGGCAGCAGCTCTCATTCCATCAGCTCTAGGTTGGGCTAGAGTGAAGTTTTGAGCAATAGGAACTCAAGCCAAGGCCCTTCTGAAGGGACAGCCAGCCACTTTGCATGTAGCTGTGGTCTGAACCAATGGGGTCCAGCTCTTGGCAAGTCCCCAATACATTATCTGGCAAAAAGCAGGCAAAGGTAACAGTAGAGGGCCTTTGCTAGATCTCTGTTCCAATAACCCTGTTAATGAGCAGCGAGCTTTGGAGAAGATTTTTTACATGATGTCAGCGTCAGGATCAAGCAGTATTTTGGATTTAGAATCTAAATAAAACAATTGGCGAAGACTTTAAAATAGAAGCCTTATCTTCCTTACCACTGTCCAGGCTCAACTACTCTAACTGGACAGTGCAAGGAGGACATCATGATCTTTTTTTTAATACCGGAACAAAAACTGAAGAAACATTAGTTATTAAAGTATACAAGTTCAGGTGTGTTCCTACTTTCTTTGGCCAAAGGAGTTGTGATGAGGTAGTTTACTCTCCATTTGTAAGGCTCTATTGTGCATAGGTAGTGCAGAAAGAAGTGATTTTTGGTGAGTTTTCCCCCTTCAATTTTAAACTTGCACTCTTCCCTAATCAAATATCAGGAGCGATTAATGGAATCCAGTTCTGCCATGGCAGTGGAGATAATATATATCCATCTCATCTGAGCCTATTATGCCTGTGGCAAGGCAAGAGAGCTTAGAACAAGACCTGGAGTTCCCATGAGGCCAGCACTGCCTTAGTCCACCTGTGTGATCTTGTGGGCAGCACAGCCTCATCTGTTCCATTCATTCAGCAGACATTCATCAAATGACTTGAGTGATGGGTGCTCTAAGGATGAAAAAAAACACTCTTACACCTTATACCAACTGAAGGCTGGTGAAAATTTATGGAACTGCATGTCTACAGTATCTGTGCTTTTCTATAACATAAGCTTAATGAAATTTTAAAAATGAACATATACCTTCACATCTTCAAGGATGTGAATAGTTCAGTCACTGTATATACATAACTATAGCATTTCAAAAAGTTACAAATTGGGAAGCCAGCTCAGATTTTTCTCCTGGTTTTAGGAAGGAGATGAAAAAATGACAGCACTCAAAGCAGAACCCAGGGGCTATGGTCTGGTCCCATAATCTTTGTATTGTACAGTAAGGCCCCTCAGAGAATGACTGGGAGGTTCAGGCTATAGGTAAACTGAGTAATCTTCACAATAGCAGGGACATCTTGTCACCCAGTGGCACTGGTACCTAGGACAGTGCTTCGGTCCTAGCAGCCTCTCAAACTCATTCAATAGTTGAAAGGCAGATGCAGAGTCCTTGTATTCTAGAAAAGAGTTTTGCCCAGAAACAGGAAAAATAGGAGCTAGTCAATTTCCCTTTAAGCCCGAGGATTTCCTATTACCATGTCTTTGTTCAAAACTATACATTATTGCCACCATGTATTAAGTGCCTATCATGTGCCAGGCAGTATTTTGAAATTAAATTCAGTACAATTGTCACATTAGCCCCAGAAAGGAAGTGTGCAGCTTTACAAATAAACTGAGGTTCAGACTGAAATCACAGGGAAAGTGGTGGAAGTGGAATTCACTCGTTTTGTAACATCCAGGCCAACGCCCAATGCTTCCTTATAACACTATTTAGCATGGAAAATTATGCAACTGAAACTGTGATCAATATTGAGACAAAAAATTCTCTCACAGATACATACCACACATATACTACTTGTATATGATATATAATGATCCAAACTGATAAAAGGCCCCACTGCCAGTGAGTACATTTTATTCCATTTTTTATTGAAATTTTCAACAGCTGCCATTTGGTTTATATAGCAATTTTTTAAGTAATTTTTTTCCATTTTTGATATTTTTATGAAAATTATTTTTTTCAATTTTAAAGCTCTACCCCTTCCAAAGAAGTATTAATAACTACCATGTAATTTTATTTATAGGGAAAGGGGGACAAAAAGAGCTTTTAAATACTTGTGAAACAGGGATAAAGGTCCAAAGTCAAGACCCAGGCCTGCTGGAAGTGCTAAGCTGCCTCTGGACACCACTAGTGCTTCGCCATCTGCACCAACAGAAGGTGGGCCATGCACGGACCCTCTGGGGGCTTCTTGTTTCACCAGCTGCACTGCATTTCTGCTCTGGACTCCTCTGCTGGGGTCCTCCTTCCCCCAAAATCTGTCCAACAAAGGCAGCATGATCTTTAATAGAGGTTCCGCTTTGTGACGGAGACAATACTGTATTTAGAAAGTTAAGAGACTCCTCGTCCAGTTGGAGAGGAAAAAATCACCAACACAGTATTATCAATAGTTCAATTTCTTGTCCAAACACATGCTCATACTTTAGAATAAATTAATTACTAGATGCTTCAAAAGTCCTGACATGTAGACAGCAAAAAAGTGTCTTATAAAAAAGAAGTTGCAAAATTACAAAAATTTCTGCAGCAGTTCAAGCTCCTTATGTGGAGCTTCTGATGACAAGGCTGGTTCTGATAAGCAGTTCCTCTGACGTGCACAGCAGCTTTCCCTAGCATCCTATGTTCTGAGAGTTCAGACCACGAGAGGTTGAAATCCAAGTTTAAGAGACTCCTTGCTGACAAAATGCGGTGTGTTTCTGTGGAATACTATGCAGCAATAAAAAGGAATAAACTACCAACACAAGTTAATCATGGTTGAACCATAAAATATGCTAAGTGAAAAAGTCAGAGGCAAGGGACCCCGATTTATATGATTCCGTTCACCTCATGTCCAGAACAGATAAATTAGAGACAAAGTGGTGTCACTTAGAGCTGGGAACAGGAATCAGTCGTGTAATAAATGAAGGACCTTATTGCAGGGGATGAAAATGTTCTAAAACTGAGTTACAGTTATAGCTGCACCACTCAGGAAGGTTACTAAAATCACTGAATTTAACACTTGAAATGGGTGAATTTTATATGTAAAATATGTCTCAAAGTTTTTTAAAAAAATAAAAGACCCTGCCTCCCAAACCACCCATCAAGCACTAAACATTCCTGAGGTTCAATCAACAGGTCAGGATTATCATGTAGTGTTGAGCTAGAGTGAAAATGTACTATTTTATAGTAAATTGCCTAGAATGTTTCTTCATTATTTTAAAGTAAAAAGGTAGCCAGTCAGGAGGTAGTCTCAAAAAGGAGACTCCTAGCAACATCAAAATCTAAGGGGGCCTTTTCTTTTGGAATAAAGGTGGTGCACCTGCCCCTTTGCAGATTTCTCTTCTCCTCTGGGGGAGAGTCTTCGCTGAAGCCTAGTGGAGATCAGTGCACTCAGCTGTCCTATTCATGTGACTCCTATAAAAACTAGACTGGGGACAGGAGTAGCGGGGTGCGCAGAAGGTCATGTAGCAAGCAAAAAACAAATGTTGCCTTTGGTCAGCCTCCTACTGCCCTGTCCCTTGTCACCAATTACAGCTGCCAGATGGGACAAATAAAGACAGAACATTAAAAACAAAGGGAAAAAATACCTTTCAAAGTTGTGACTAACCAAGCCTGTGGATGACTTTCGCACAGCAGGGGAGCAGTGGCTGCAAAAAGCGCTCTGCACTACACAGGGCAGGGTGACCAGAGCAGCTAAGGATCCCGATGAGCAATGAGGGAGCAATGATTCGCTCGGGAACCGTGAGCAGATGAAGGAGGAGATGAAGGTTCTGGATGCATATCAGATCTGGGTCAACCCCCTGTTCTCCTGACTCACCTCCCAAACTGATGAGGTTTGCATAATCCCTAAGGAAGGTGCTGGGGGATATACAATCTTCCCCAGAAGATGGATATCTCCAAATCTTAGTCAAATGTCAGGTCTCTTCTGCCTGTTTCCATTCCTCAACATCACCTAAACCAAGACACATTATTTACCTGTGTTGCTGGGACCCCTATCAACAAACATTTGCCTCTCCCAATCACAGTAGGTAGATTCCTGGGCTCCTAATGTTTCTACAGGTGTTTGCAGCAGCACTAATGTAGGAAGATTCAATCAGGCTGTTTCCTTTGGCTACTTCAAACGACTTTCCTCTGACATGTAATTTCCAGAGTATCTAAATGATCTTACTTCCCAGGCTCTCCAAAATTAAGACAAAACTTTGACATTGTAGCAACATACAATTTGAAAAATGTTTAGTATTTCACTAAAAACATTTTTAAGCCATAGTTAGCATTAGGACCTTAAAAGATCCCCAGGTATTTTGACTTTGGAAACTGAGGTGCTATAAAGGTCCAGGCTTTTATTTATGATCTTGTTCGGTTTGACCTTATATAATCCCAAAAGTCAACTGCTGCATTCAGAAACTGGCCAAAGACCCAAAGTTGCAGGTGCTTAGGTCTAGGCTGCACCCATCAAATTTTCTGCTGTAGTTCTAGGGCCTGAAGAAACTGAAAAGATACTTCCTTTATGTTCATGGTTTTCGCCTTAAAGAGCAAGAGATAAAATGATTTTCATCTTGGAATTTTAGAATTCAATAATCACAAAAATCACAAATCAACCACTAATAAACTAACACTGGGACCAGCCAGGGTTGGCAACTGTTAAAAATACATCTTCTGTTTTTACACAAATTCTCAAACTCCCAGTTGCCAATAAAAAAAGTTTCAACAGAATAACGACTTAAACTCAACATCAGAGTGATCACATAAATACCAGCCTCACCTTTAAAGAGTAAAGGTGCCAGCCTGGCTTGCACCCAGACCCTCTGCTGTGATGAAAAGTCCGAGATAGCCAGAGGCTCCCAGCTCTTCCCAGTCAAGATACAATGAGACCTAAGTGTATTTTCTGCTAAGGAGCTGGCAAACTCTAACGTTAGCTGAGCCTGTGAGCTGGGTAACAGCTCTGTTCCCACCTCACAACCAAAGAGATGGAGAACAGAGCTGGGCTGTAAGAGGAACCACTGGAAGCATCACCTGAAACATTAAAAAGGGGTCACACTGCTAGCTGCTTTCTGATCCTGGACTTAGCATACTATGTGTCTGAACAGGCCGGGAAAGTCCAGCCCTCAGGTTCACTGCTCACTGGGCTGGAAGATTTAAGTCCTGACAAAGTATGCCTTGTGAAACCACCCTGAAGACTGACACCCAAAATGGAACCCCACGCCAGAGGAACAGCACTCAGCACCTTAGCCTGTTCTGGTGTCAGAAGAGCAAGGCTTTTTCAGGATGAAGAAATGACTAGATCTGGATTCCAGCAGCACCTTCCAGACGGGGAGCCACACAAGAATCCATTGTACTCTTTGTGATAGAGATCTCCAGGGTCTAGAGAATGGCTCTTTCTGCAATCACAGCACATTTCCAACAGTCTTTATAATTCTGAGCTTGGCCAAGCTAATGGAGACTACAGAAAGAAAAGCAGCCCCAGAAGAGAGAAAGACTTCTATATCTGCATTTCCAAGGCCCTGTCCTTGTTTCAGGCAGCCGAAGCTGGGATAAAGAAATTTCTTTATTCATGGATCTCTCTGAAAACAAGCTAGAGCTCCTCTCCCTCGAGGTAGAGGCTTTGAGAATTAATGTGCACATCTGGCAATACAAGCTCCTTAAGTTACTCTCCTTTGACATGTGACCTAACAAGGAAAGGCCAGTTTTCAAATAATGCCATCCAATAGACTCGTATGATAAAAAGATGGGGGCTCCTATTTTAAATCTGACCTTAGGTTGTGGCTGTTCAAAAGGTCAACAGAGAAACTCATAAGAAAAAGGAAATTCTTAAGCTTTCCAGACCCTAGTTCTTTCCTTCTGACCTCTGTCCCACCTCCACATACTGAATTCACAGACTTCATTTCAAATTCCATGATCTCTTCCTGATGTGCCTCTCACACTCACAGCAGTGGTCACACAGAAGCCACTGTGCTCAGGCGTCTGCAAGTCCTCCTCCTGGGGGGATGGCGAGGACCTGACACACGGTCCTTTAGACCTGACTCTCCCACCTACATCTCTATCACACAAAGGCAGCACCTGTGCCCAGTTTGGTTCCTTATGAGTTTCAACAAAAAACCCCTGTGACTTACAGGCAGGAAAGACGAAAGGAATGAACCCAGAGAGCCCAATCAAGAAAACTTGCAAAGCTGGGCATGTAGGAACAGCAAAATTTGGTAATTGCTGAAACTATCCTGGTAGGTCACACAGTCACTTGGGTCAAGTAGAATTCACTCTATTGGGCTTTTTTTTTTTAGTTCTTTTGCATAATTCTATGAAGTGGGAAAAGCATCAAAACAGTGAACTGAGCTTCTTGTTAGCATTCCAAAAAATATAGGTACTTGTAAAAGTGCATAAACCTTTCTAAGGGAAGATATCAAAAGGATCAAATCTTCATAGGGGTGAAAAAAAATTGTCAAAATAAACTTAAGACACAACTAACAGGATTCAAGAATGACTTCTCCAGCCTGAAGCTTATGTCCAGCATAGCATGCCTCTCACTCACCTTTGGTAACAATATCTTTTTTTTAAATCAGAGAAAGGTGGGGGTGGAAAGGGATAGAGGACCACGAGAGGCAAAGAGGCAAATCTACCCTAGTGCTCTTGTACCTTGAAATGATGAGTCTGACGGCAGCTGTAAACAGAGGCTTAGAAGTAGGTGAACAGTAACTGTACCATTCAAGTGACAATACCCATCACAATTTCCCCCTTCTGATCACAAATTTAATCAATCATCAAAAGAGTTACTGTAAACCAGTACTTAAGTCTGTGTTTTCTTGAACAGGGTTCAAGGCAGGAAGACATGAGTTCAGCAGGCCATTGGTAATGCCAGTTCATTGCAGGAAGCCCCCAGGGGTTGGGAGAGCTGAGCTGCAGACTCTTTTACAACACTTGCTTCTTCCACTCATCCCTCTTCCCATCCAGCTTAACAGACTCGATAGTAGTTTTCTAGATGTGCACTGCCTTTTTAAGTATACAGCAGGGTGAGAGGGCATTTGTAAACACCCAGATTTTCTTGGTCAGCTTATTTTGTTTAAACACACATAGCAGAACATTCCTGATGAAGTGAGAAAAAAGAATATTGCAATTTCCTTAACTCAAAAAGCCAAAAACATAATAATAATAATAATAATAATAATAATAATAATAGGAAACTGCTCAAAATGAAAGTCAGTAGAACAAAAGAGAAACACTCAGGCTTGCAGAGTAAGACTGAGCACATTAGCTACTCCAGTCACAGTGTCAAGTTAAACCGCTATTCCCCTTCCCCACTGTGCAGCCCTAGCCCACCGCCCCCCCCTTTAGCTCTGCCTTTGTATGCAGCGCTGTCCCAGATGTGGCGACATACAAGTCCTCCTCAAAGCTTTTCTGTCAGCTCAGTACTTCACTCCTGGAATAAATTCCTTGGCATCCGGATTCAGGTTACTTTTGCTCTGAAATAAGAACCAAGAGATAATAAATCCCACAGCAAGCTGCACTTTAAAACTTATTTTCTACCTCCTTCCATTATTACCAGTACCTTCCTCTTAGCTTCAAGGGGAGAAAAAAATAGAATTCCTTGCAACTCAGGCTATTATTACTGTGGGGCTGCTCTCAATCGCTCCTGACATACTAAGCCCTGACCAACCTCATTTTCTCCTTTCTGCTTCAGACTCCTGCTCCCTTTATGATGCTTTCATTAGGGGCTTGTAAGTTTGACTCCAAAAACAACTCAATTCATTGAGCACCTTAACTTGATGAACATCAGAGAACTCCATCAAACCAGCTTGGTACCACAATCCCTATAAACATATATCTTTTTTTCATCTTGCTGTACTCTCTTTGGTTGTCGACTCTCTTGTGAATACCCAATACCTCAGCAAACTGCGGGGAACAATCATTCAGAACATGGGCTGTGTGAGAACTAAATCACTCAGAATTCATATGTAAACATGGAAGGCAGGGGATTCCTTTATCTGGTCTTCTAATGTTAAGTAGAAAATGGCCTCTTATGAATATATTCCTTCCAAAATCAACAATTTTTACAACAGCATCATTCAAAAATATAAATACAGATTTGAGGAATAGTAAAAAAATGGCAGCAAATGATAATTTGAAACCAAATCTTTTCCTTCCAATTCTTTGTCCTTAATCCCAATTCTACTTTGGAAGGTCTACTGGGAAAAATGAAAGTTAGTGATGTTACAGCATTAATGTTCTCACAGTGCTTTATCAGGTGAAATGCATCTTCAATGTACCTTATTTATTTACTTATTTTAGAATTATTATTATGTTTTAGAGAAGTGGGAAGGGAGGGAGAAAGTATGGGTAAGAAACATCAATTTGTTGCCTCTCATATGTGCCCTGACCAGGGACCGAACCCACAACCTAGGCATGTGCCCTGACTGGGAATTGAACCAGCAACTTTTTGCTTTGCCGGATGGTGCCCAACCAACTGAGCCACACTGGTCAGGGCCAATGTACATTCTTATTAGTGCCCACATAGTGAGTGAAGAAATAGCGGCTCAGAGGCTCCAGAGATTTGCTCAAGGTTGTTGGGCCAGAAAGAAAGTCTGTGACTCCAGATCCTACATTCCTTTCGTTGTGTCCCATGTGTACTTATGTACTTACAGCTCTTACCAAAATGTCTTCAGAATCATGACCATCGCTGAGAGACAGTCCATTTAACTGTTGTTGCAACTGTCCCATGACCTGAGGCAGGTCTCGTGAGGGAATAAACCAGTCTTGGTCTTCTTCATCCAGCATCTCCTGGAAGCACCGGTCCAAAAAATCCTGCTCCTGAAGCTCCTCCTCCACCTGGCAAGCAAAGGTGAAGAGCTCAGTCTCACTGTCCCAGTGGCACTCATCCCTTCCAGTTTTCCTCCGCCTCTTTCTTTCAGAGGTTATTACTCCAAGATTAAGACTGATCTTGCATGTGATCTACTAAGAATTAAGATGCTTTCAAGGACTAGCTGGAGAAAATATAATTTTTAATTTTTTCAACCAAAGTCCACTAATAACAGGACTAAGAAAATAGTTATTCAAAATAGCAAAATTCTTCACAAATCTTCTAAGGTCTCTATATATGTGACACAGATATTTCCCATTTACATGGCACTTACCAAAAGTCATTTTTAAAGCTTTAAATACTTTTCTCAATTTTGTTAAGAGGCAACTCTTCCTAAATTTCCCATTTTACAACTATAAAAAAGGTACAGGAACTCTGTAACTAGGCTACTACCTGGATAGTGGACATTATATTAAAATAAACTTTCAGCCTCTGGCCCACTTTTCTGGTAATGAGGCCCCCAAGGGAGAAAAATACTTGCAGAACCTTACAAAGAATACTTTTTGCCATATCAATGGAAAATGTCATCAATGTAGTATTCTTTCAAAACAAGAAATAATATGAATATTTAAACAACTCCAAATTTCTTAAAGATGGCTTTAAACTAAAGCAATATATATCTAGGATATTTCATACCTATTTGCAGTCATTGTTAACTCTTACAAAAGAGTTCATTCTGCAGATTGTGTGATTCTAACAGGCCTCCTGTTTTACATTTGGCCCTCCCATTTCCCACAGCAAGCCTGGTGACAAATTCACAGCTCACTCATGCCACAACCAGAGGGGGTCCAGCAAAAACAATCACCCAAATTAGCCAATACAGTTAACCTCATAATTCAGAGGAAGAGTTACTGGTAGCAATACTCAAAAATAGTATTTCAACAATTATAATTAGCAATGCTTTTTTAAAAATTTCAAGTTAATTATAAAGTTATGAAGTACTTAAAATAACAATAACCACAAAAATATTTCCAAGCCACAAGATTTAATGTGACTACTCAAGATCTGCCCTGACTCTCTCCAAAAGCATAACAGTGTGTTCCCCATGTTAAATCTATCCTTATCCTGCCCTGGCTGGTGTGGCTCAGTGGATTGGGTGCTGGCCTATGAACCAAAGGGTCACTGGTTCCATTCCCAGTCAGGGCACATGCCTGGGTTGTGGGCCAGGTTCCCAATAGCGGGTGTGTGAGAAGCAACCACACACTGATGTTTCTCTCTCTCCCTTTACCCCTTCCCCCAAAATAAAAAAAATAAATAAATCTATCCTTATCCACAGATACAACCTCCCACAGCACTAAGCTATTCAGTTAATACTGTATTTCCCTTCTCCCATGCCATACAGAGCCATGTAATTATCATGTAATATCCCCAGAAGGGATGTGAGAACTTTGCATCACTTGGTTAAAAGGAGATCCCTTATCTTGGCTTCAGCTCTCTCCCTTTCCCAGCGGCTAGACTTTCAGTTATCCTTCAGCTACTCACCTGTAAGTACCCCAGGGGTGGCAAAGCAACATGGAAAGAACTATGTGGTCCACCTATCTACCTGCAATGGCTTACCTTGGGCTGAGCCATTGTTACAGAGACAAGAAGATGGTGAATTAGTGCTGAATCTTGGTTGAAGCAGCCTAGCCTTTCCCCACTCTATTACACCCTTAGCTAACTCAGGCTCACACTCTGCCAGTTCCTGAGTTCCTATCTGTGGCATGCCAGGTTGGCCTATCTTCATAAAACTGCTGTTTCCCAGAAGTCTACACCAGACCACCAAGGCACTAGATCCTCTTTCAATCAACGTGGAAGAAAAATATCACAATCTTCCTTTAAAGTACTGTGGTCTCTTACCAGTTGAAGGTGCTTCCTGGTCAGCTCAGACCCAGAGACCTGGCCTCCATGTATTTTTAAGTTATTCTAAAGCCAACAGCCCATTTCTTTTGAAACAGACTGACAATAAAATATTATAGCTTCTGAGTTATATACATCATTGTCCTTCCATTTCTTTCTTTACCTGTCTGTTAAAATCCTCTTCATTCTCCATCCACATGTACTCTGCAAATGGGTTTTCCTTCTCATCATGCCCATTTAACCCCTGATCTTCTTTGGATTTTACACTGGGTGATGTGTTTACCACACTGGATCCATTCATTATGATAGAATCTAAACAGAAGCAAAAGAAAGAATAAAATGTTACAAGGATGAAGGAAATGAAAACCTATAATATCCAGATTCTTCCAGAAGCTTCTGAAGTTCTAAGTCAAAGTTATTAACTACAGATGAACACAAACTGCTAATCTGTACCTGTTAAAAAACTAACTGTATCCTGTAGTTATCAACTATACAGATATATAATTCTTTAAAAGTTTAAAGAAAAATAAATGTCCTCTTTCTGCCACTGTGGAGCCTGTGGAGGCCTGCTGTGAACAGGACTTCCATGACAACAAATACATCTGGAAGGCTGTGGTCCAAGGCCATTTTTGCTGGCTATAAGAGGGGGCCCTGGAAACAGAGGGGGCACACAGCTCTTCTCAAATTATAGGTGTTTATGCTGGAGATGAAATTGAATTCTGTCTAGACAAGAAGAGATGTGGTTACTCCTGGTGGCAAATCGAACAAAACCAGAATCACCTGGGGAAAGGTAACTTGTGCTACTGGAAACAGTAGCATGGCTCATGCTAAATTCCAAAGCAACCTTCCTGCTAAGGTCATTGGACACAGAATCTGTGTAATCCTTAAGGACTTAAATTGATTGAAAGTAAATAAATAAAATGGATTTGTTCTCTTGTAAAAAGGAAGGAAAGAAGAAAAGAGGGAGAGAGGGAGGTAAGAAGGGGAAAAACAATAACATGTTTAGGGTTCCTTAGCCTTTCTAGGCAAGTAAGAGGGCACATCTTTTCAAGGCAAATTCTGCAGGCTCTAGAACCTAATCAAGATCACACAGCTTTCTTGATGTCTAAAGAAAATACATTATTTTTTAAAAGTATATATTTATTGATTATACTATTATAGTTTTCCCAATTTTTTCCCTTTTTCCCATTCCACCCTGCACCCCCCACACCTCCAGCCATCCCCCTCCCCCCACTTAATTCATGTCCATGGGCGGTGCATGTAAGTTCTTTGACTTCTCTGTTTCCTAAACCATTCTCAACCTCTCCATCTATTTTATGCCGACCAGTTATACTTATTTCCTACCTTCCTCCCATTCTTCCCCCCACCCCGCCCATTGAAAACCCTCCATGTGATCTCCATTTCTCTGATTCTGTTCCTATTTTAGTTGTTTGCTTAGTTTTTGTTTCTCTCTCTTTTTTTAGGTTCAGTTGTTGATAGTTGTGAGTTTGTTGCCATTTTACTGTTCATAGTTTTTGATCGTCTTCTTTTTGTTAGATCAGTCCCTTTAACATTTCATATAATAAGGGCTTGGTGGTGATAAACTACTTTAACTTGACCTTGTCTGGGAAGCACTTTATCTGCCCTTCCATTCTAAATGATAGCTTTGCTGGACAGAGTAATCTTGAATGTAGGTCCTTGCCTTTCATGACTTGGAATATTTCTTGCCAGCCCCTTCTTAACTGTAAGGTTTCTTTTGAGAAATCAGCTGGTAGCCTTATGGGAACTCCTTTGTAGGTAACTGTCACCTTTTCTCCTGCTGCTTTTAAGATTCTCTATCTTTAATCTTGGGTAACTTAATGATGATGTGATTTGGTGTGTTCCTCCTTGGGTCCAATTTCTTTGGGACTCTCTGGATTTCCTGGACTTCCTGGAAGTCTATTTCCTTTGTCAGATTGGGGAAGTTTTCCTTCATTATTTGTTCAAATAAGTTTTCAACTTTTTGCTCTTGTTCTTTTCCTTCTGGCACCCCTATGATTTGGATGTTGGAATGTTTAAAGTTGTCCCAGAAGTTCCTAAGCCTCTCCTCATTTTTTTGAATTCTTGTTTCTTCATTCTGTTCCAGCTGGATGTTTATTTCTTCCTTTTGTTCCAGATCATTGATTTGAGTACTGGTTTCCTTCCCTTCACTATTGGTTCCCTATATTTTTGCTTTATTTCACTTTGGGTAGCCTTCATTTGTTCCTTCATTTTTCGTCCAAGCTCAGTCAGTTCTGTGAGCATCGTGATTACCAGTGTTTTGAACTCTGCATCAGATAGGTTGGCTATCTCCTTGTGGCTTATCTCTTTTTCTGGAGTTTTCCTCTGTTCTTTCATTTGGACCCTATTTCTTTGTCTCAGGGCACCTGTTAAGTTGTAAGGGGGTGAGGCCTTAGGTATTCTCCAAGGCAGGGCAACCCTCTTTGCTGCACTGTGGCTCTGTCTGTAAGGGAGGAGTCATAGAGGGAATATTTCGGCTCTCTTGCTTGGCTCTAGCCCCACTTTCCAAGGAGCTCTGTCATGTGAGACTGGGAGTTTTTCTGGCTGTGGCAACCCCTGAGGTAGTTTACAGCTAGCATGAGTCTTTAGTTTCCCATTCAGCCAGCCCTACCTTGCTCACTCGGTACTCCACCTTGCCAGGTCCTCTCCGCCTGCCTTGCTGCCCATCTCCAGTCCCTCCTACTGGTCTGGTAGATGTTTCTTTAACTTCTTGTTTGTCGGAGTTCCATGCAGTTTGATTTTCTGGCACTTCTGGTTGTTTATTGTTTTTAGATTGGTTGTAATCTTCCTTTTGGTTGTGCAAGGAAGCAAAGGGTTTCTACCTACGCCTCCATCTTGGCCAGAACTAAGAAAATGCATTTTTAATAAGCATTGTAAGCAACTGTCTCTTATTCTGATGCTTGTTCTTCTTTAGGATGTATTTAAAAAAATAATACATCTTCATTGTATTCATAAACAAAAAGGAGAAAATTAAGGTCACCAGTTGTTCAGCTAACCAGAGTGAAGAATGATTAACAATGTTGTGCAACCTTCCTAACATCCCTACTGTATTCGCATATACACAAATATACACACACACTCTCTCCAAGTATATGTTCTTATAGTAACAGCATGATGTGCCATCATTTGCTTTTACTCATTTCTATGTTAATATAGCCATGTGGTCTTTGGGGGTGTTTCTAATGTTTCTGTATTACAAAAGTTCCATGAACTTCTTGTGTTCATTTTTTCTAATGATTGCTTTAGGATAACTCCTAGGAATAGAGCTGCTATATTGGAAAGTATGTTCTTTTCTTCTAAGGCTCTTTATTTATTGTCACCCTGCCATAAGAATTTAAATTCCCATCAGTAGTATGTGACTGTTCCTTTGTATTTATGAGTATTATTATTTTTTAAACCATTGCCAATATCATAAGAGAAAACTTGCAATTTATTGTGTACACTTACATTTCTTTGATTTTTACTGAGGCTGAATATTTTGAGATATACCTTTTATATTTGTTTTGTAATTTTTCTGCTAAAGTACTTTGCCCATTTTCTATCAGAGTATATATCTTTTCCTTATCTTCTGAAGAACTTTTATTATATTTTTCATTTTAATTTTCCACAAAATAACTTATAAGTTAAAATATTTTATTTATTTGCTTAAATTTTTGGTGGCAGTGTTACTGGCCTTAATTTTTATCTATAGCTTGTGTGAGTGTCTGTCTGTTTATGGCTTTTTTAAAAAAGACCTTTTTTAAAAAAAAGGTTTTATTTATTTATTTTCAGAGAGAGGGAAGGGAGGGAGAGAAACATTGATGTGCAAGAAATATGCGAGAGATATGTTGACCAGTTGCCTCTCACTTGCCCCCAACTGGGTCCTGGTTTACAACCCAGGCATGTGCCCTCACTGGGAATTGAACTGGTGACCTTTTGGTTCTCAGGCTGGTACTCAATCCACTAAGCCACACTAGCCAGAGCTAGTACATACATATTTTAAAAAATTGTTTACACTTTGGCTTCTAAATCTATTTTGATGTATTTGCTGTCATCTGGAATGTGTCTTGTTATTTACGTCTTAACCATTCTTCAAAAACCATTGCAGTCTCTACTCAAACTCTCCCCTCCTCTACACTCTTGTAGTAGTAGACATGGTGTTAATACTACTTTGCTGTTCTGTTTCATATGCATAAACTTTTCTTTTTGTAAATGGATTCTCAATTCCTGAAAAGCAAGATGGAGGATGATACATTTTGTAATTCAGCTCGATATTAGGAACTTTATAAATGCTTGTGGGTCACTGTACCTAGCCAACGTTCCCTTTCTATCCCACCTCGTTTTCTTTAACAAATTATTTCCTCATTCGTTTCCATCTTGGCAGCAGTCATGAAAAAGTTCTTCTCTGCTTCTGGATAATTTGTTAACACTAAAAAATTACTGCTTACTCCCCTTTAAAATTTTTGCAATTTTCTAACCTATTATGGACATTAGGTAAAACTGTGAAGAGTAAAAAATAGAGTGGAAAAACAACTACTGATAGTTTAAAAAGTATTTTATTTAAGACAGAACCCATTTAATTCACTGTTGGTATAAATGGGGGCACCTAGTATGAAATGTATCAGTTTAACATATTTTAAATACAGACAAAAGAAATCTGTAGCAATATTATGATGCTCCATCATTTGCTTTTTCTCATTCCTATGTGAATACTGCTGTACTGTGTTAGGGGTGTTTTCAATGTTTCTGTATTAAAAAGGTTCCCTTATATTCCAGATCTGGCTCTATAATAGTAATTCCATAATGCTATAGAAGAGAGAAAACCAGTTCTTTATTTTTACTACTTCCATTTTCAGCACAACAATGACAGAAACAAATCTGCCCTAAATGCCAGGGCAACTGTGTGAGTAAGTGGGCTCCCCTAGCACAGTGATTCTTAGAGACCCTGATCCTTGCTGGGTAGCATGCTGTACATATTATATTTCCAAAGACTCATTTGCCAGTTGCTTACAGCCAGCACAACAATTGTCCTTAGTAATATGAAAATCATTCACAGAGAGGCGGAGTTCAATTTTCTAAAACATCTGGCTTTCCCCAAAAAATAAATCCATAAGGAAAAAGGGAAGACAGAGGAAAAAAGAACAGAAAACTACTTCTAATTCAAGAAGAAGGCAGAACAGGGAGAGCAAACTGCAGGATACACTTGTTCATGAGAAAAGGAATAGAAAATCCCCATAATCTCAGCATGAGGATGTTCCCCAAATCAACACACTTTAGAAAAGTTGAAAACACTGAGATGCGGGACAGCTGGTACT